TATTTATGAGTCTCTTCTGTTTTGTCCCCCTCCCTGTTTTTTATATTATTTTTGTTTCCCTTCCCTTATGCTCATCTGTTTTGTCTCTTAAAGTCTTCATATGAGTGAAGTCATACGATTTTTGTCTTTCTCTGACTAATTTCACTTAGCATAATACCCTCCAGTTCCATCCACATAGTTGCAAATGGCAAGATTTCCTTCTTTTTGATTGCCGAGTAATACTCCATTGTATATATATACCACATCTTCTTTATCCATTCATCCATCGATGGACATTTGGGCTCTTTCCATACTTTGTCTATTGTTGATAGTGCTGCTATAAACATGGGGGTGCACGTGTCCCTTCGAAACAGCACACCTGTATCCTGTGGATAAATGCCTAGTAGTGCAATTGCTGGGTCATAGGGTAGTTCTATTTTTAGTTTTTTGAGGAACCTCCATACTGCTTTCCAGAGTGGCTGCACCAGCTTGCATTCCCATTTAATCTGTTTTGCCACCAGCCGGTCTTATAATCTTCGGTGGTCCCAAGATTCTGTATCTATTTTTATCTGTAGCTAAAATGGTTGTTTTTAAGAATTCTTTCTTAGATAAAATACTTCATGTTTTTAAGCATTAGTTTTCTAAACTATAAAATGGGACTTTAGGGGGCACGTGGCTGGCTCAGTCAGTAGAAGATGCAACTCTTGATCTCCGGATTGTGAATTCAAGCCCCCCATGGGGTGTAGACATTAATTACTTAAAAATAAAATCTTTTAAAAATTTTAAAATGGGCACCTGCGTGGCTCAGACCGTTAAGCATCTGGCTCTTGATTTCGGCTCATATCATGATCTCAGTTTGTGAATTTGATCCCTGCTTCAGGCTCCCACAGTGACAGTGCAGAGCCTGTTTGGGATTCTTTCTCTCTCCCTCTCTCTGTGTCTCTCCCCCATTCACTCTTTCTCTGTCAGAAATAAAGTTTAAAAAAAATTAAAATGGACTTCCTTGGTAACTAACATTTATCATGAGAATTACATTTCTTAAAACGTGTGCAGTGCCTTTAGCATAGTGCCTAACACATAGTGTGCTTAGATGTTAAAGATCTTAATAGTGAACATTAACCTTAATATTGAAGCATTTATTAAAATCATAAATAAGGAAGCCTGTTACCACTGCTACTCAGCATTGTTCTAGAAGCTTTAGCCAAATCAGGAACACATGAAAAAGAAATAAGCATAAATGATGAGAATTAGTATTACTTGACAGTGCTGTGACTTTGTACTTGGAATTGAGAATTCACTGAAAAACCTAGAACTAATAAAGGACTAAATTCGAGGTCAGCTGTAAAGTCAGACGTGTGAAAAACGAACAGTGGTCCTAAAACCTACCCACTGATTATGTAATGGAGATAAAAGGTGTTCATAATAATGAGAAATAAAAATTATATATAAAATACATAATAAATATGGCCAATTTCTGTAGAAAATATAAAATGTACATATAATTGAAGAAACAGATCTTGTTCCTAGATAGAAAGATGTAGTATTAGAAAGACTTTATGTCTCATATAATTAAATTTATGATACTTCTAATAAATCTAAATAAAATAGTAGGAGAACTTAATAAAACATACACAGTCTTAAAAATAAACATGGAAGTATAATTAGACATATTTTTAGAATAAAAGTAATGACATGGGCTTACCTAACTGATAATAGTACACCTAAAATAAAGCAATGCAGGAATAAAAGTCAGAAATAGTTCCAAATATTGGGGCACCTGGGTGGCTCAGGCAGTTGGACGTCCGACTTCGCCTCAGGTCATGATCTTATGGTTCATGGGTTCGAGCTCTGTGCTGACAGTTCAGAGCCTAGAGCCTGCTTCAGATTCTGTGTCTCCCGCTCTCTCTGTCCCTCCCCCACTCATGCTCTGTCTCTCTCCCTCAAAAAAAAAAAAAAAAAAAGGAATTAACATTTAAAAAAAAAAAGATACTGTTCTAAATATAAATAAGTGATTAATATATGATAAAGATATTTTTTAATTAGTAGAGGAAAACTGGCTGTCCAGTAAGTGATGTTGGGAGAGACAACTGCCTGATCATTTGGGAGAAATAAATCTAGATTCTTTCTTGCATGCTTAGAAAATAAATTTTAAATAGATTAATGTATTTTAAGATTTTTTTCAAGTACATATTTATTAGAAGAGAGGGATGTATTTCTATAAAGCAGTGATGGAGAAAGCCTTGGATTCTGCATTATTAAGTTTCATCAATTAAAACTTCTGAATTTTACAAAATTAAAATACCAAGAATATTCTTTGAACTGATAAGAATGTGACGCTAGGTGAAGGGGTGTGTTTTTACTATGCTAAAACCACCTTCTGATCTTATTCCTAATGGTATGTCCAGCATTACGTGTCTTTCCCTCCGATAACGAAATTGCTGTGACTAGAAGACTAGACTTGATTGCTTTGATTGCCCCATCACTTGTAGTTCTGTAACACTTGGGAGTCACAGGATTTTTTTCTCAAAAGCCTTGATGAGACAAGTCTTGTATATTTATAAGATTATTTAATTTAGTATTGTAAAATTAAACAATAGGCTTTTCAAAAAAACCTTAGCACTTGTTTTGTAAATAAAGCCCTTTGTAAGGTGGTAAGTGATTATAGAATGTTTTCTCACAGGCCAAAACTTACACAGACTGCCATGGTTTCCCATTATAATCAGTGGGAACATTGTACTGTTCCTCTTAATGGTAAACTTTGGCATTAATGGCTGGAAATGGTGATACATATTTATGAATGCATACTTTAGATAACCATAAACTTGGGAAGTGTTACTAATAAACGGTCCCTGAAGCATCTGGTACACAGTAACCAGTGCATTGTCAACACTCACCGCAGTTTACCAGTGGTTGGAGCCTATGCAGGTATGCACAGGTGGGTAGTAACATGTGCAGCATACTTGGAATTTTTTTTTTTTTTTTACATGAAATGAGCATAATTTCCTTAGAACATTTTGGTGCAATATCATGGGATATGAGGGCACCTGGAGCAGAGATTTATAGAAAACATTATAGGGACAAAAAGCATGATGGGAGCATCTGATGTTAAAGTCTTCTGTTCATACTGTGCCCAGACTCTGACCTCATAAAAGGAAAAATGGAAGTTGTAAGTATAAAACCCATATTAAACAAAAACTTCCAAGAGATGTTTCAAATGGCCAGAAATGAATACAGCTGCTGTGTAATTATCTGAAGGTTGTATCTGTTGCTGGCCTGAGTATTGATGTATAATTTACCTAAGGTATTAGAGGACTTGACCTGTCTAATTTTCTAATCCTTTACTTCCTTTATAATGGATTGTAATGGAGATATAAAGCCTTAGGTTACAGCCTTTGGAAATAATGGCTGAGGTGTCAGTATAATCTTGTGGCTGTCATTACTGGGGAAAGCCTGCATCTGACTGCCTGCAACATGATCTTTGATAGTATTCTTCAGAAATCTTGCCCAGGCAGTACTTTTTTAAAAACTTACTTAAATCTTACTCCACCAGTTAAAATACAAATAAAGTTCCAAAGGTTGGTTGGTTGGTCGGTCGTTGGGTGGTTTTGTTTTTTTGTTTTGTTTTTTCAATGTTTCTTTACTAGCCTAGTGACCAGCCCACTAAAGATAACCAGGTTTAAACTCTGGTCTAATAAGTAGGTGAATTCAAATTTGTGCTAAAGATTTAAATTGGTAGAAATAAAACTGTAGACATTTTTGTTGAGGGTCTAGATTATTTTGAAATCCCCAGAGGATAGGGTAGTTTCTTATCTTTTGGTTACGTTTTAGGTCGTTCAAGCCCTCAGTTAGACCCTTTGAGAAAAAGCCCAACCATGGAACAAGCAGTACAGACCGCCTCGGCCCACTTACCTGCTCCAGCACCTGTTGGGAGGAGGAGCCCTGTATCAACCAGGCCTTTACCATCTACCAGCCAAAAAGCAATAGAGAATCAAGAGCACAGGCGAGGTAGAACTTTAGCTATTTACTATTCATTAATTGACTGATCCACATTTTCCATTCACCTTATTTTTCATTAAAAAGATTTACTTTATACAAATGATCCTAGAAGGTTTAAACTGAACTTGATAGATGTTCAGTCTTTCAAATTTGACTCAAAGTAGTGATGGTGGTGGGGGTATAGATTTTTTGCTTTTTGTTTTGGGTTTCTTTGTTTTTCCCATTTTTGAACTTTACAGAAGTGTTTGATTTTGTGTACTGAGCTGATTTGTGACTTTGCATATCTTTTGTAGCTGAAGTACACAAAGTTTCAAGACCAGAAAATGAGCAACTCAGAAATGATAGCAAGAGACAAATCGGTAAGTTACTTTATTCTGAAAGCCATATTCTGTGCTGCTCAGTTAGAAGGAACATTTGATGCATAATTACTTTTAAAAAATGAAAGCCTGAGTTGGTGACTATGAAGGAGTAGCACTGGGGAGTTTTATTGGGGAAACAAAACATTTCTTAATCTTGATTAGGGCACTAGTTGTGCAGATGTATTCATGTAGCAGAATGTTATAGAATTATAAAGATACACCAAAAAGTGAGTATGCACAAAAAACTGTTGAAATCGGAGTGAGATTGGTAGTATAATTATATTGTGCCAGGGTCAGTTTCCTGGTTTTTGTAAAGTAAAATAGTTAAATAAGATTTTACCATTAGATGGGAGACTAGGTAATGAGCATATAGGACTGCTCTGTACTATATTTTCAATTTTTTTGTGTCTAATTGTTTTAAATTACAAGTTGTTTTTTTTTTTAATGACCATTATATTTCTGGAATAAACTCTACTGGATGGTAGGCAGTTGTCTTAAAGTATATTGACTTTATCTGTCAGTAAGATTTGTATACTTACATTGTTGTATGGTTTCCTCATTTGTACTTTTGTATTCTTTTTTTACATTTTTGTGTCAGTTTCACATTAGCATTATAAAATTATTTTCAATGTTTTCTATGCTGTTAGGAGTAAAATTATCTGTATCTTGAAGGTTTGAGGCTTTCTTAATATAATTATTTAAGCCCTGAGCTTTTTTTCTATAATTGTTGAAGAACTTTAATTTTCTTTCATGATTTTTGACTTCATATGATTGTACTCTTCTGTTTTGTAATCTATAACATTTATCCCCAGATTCATTCATTTTATTAATACTTTCAAATATATTATTAGAAGATAAAGTATTATTTTAAATGTCCAAATTAAAAAATAAAAGGCAAGTTTTAACCACCTTGTTAGATAATATTAAGAAAGTGATTTTTCACTTCAGAAAACATATACTGTATTTCTCTTGTACGTTGCTGTATATATTTTTGTATGTGCTATGTGCCATAGAATACAGAAGTTTTGGGTTGATTTACTACATTTCACTTTTTTTTTATCTTGAAAGAGAGAGAACTTCTCTCTCAAAATAAGATAAATGCCACGGTGCAACTTCGGGTCAGGTCATAAATTCATAGTTTGTGAGTTTGAGACCTGCGTCGGGCTCTGGGCTCTGCACTGACAGTGCAGGGTCTGCTTGGGATTCTTGCTCTGTCCCTCCCCCACTCATGTGTTCTCTTTCTCAAAAATAAATAAACAAATCTAAATAAAAGAAAAAAAGAAGATAATTGCCACACTACTATCATTTAAAAATCATATAAAGTAATAAATAAAAGGACCTTTTACTGCCCTTAAATTCATCCCTCAAAGGTTCATTAACAGAACAGTGAATATTCTTTCAGATTGTTTTTCTTATGGCTTTACAAACAGACTACACTTAAACTTTTTTTAACACGGAAAGATTGTGCTATACTTACTTCCTGGCTTGTGGCCAAAGTGTTTTTAATAGTGAAGTTGAATGTTTTAAACATCCTGCTTATCTAGATCTAAGTGTCTGGATATGCCGCTGTGGCTTTTTGTGGTTTGTTTTCTCAAACATGGGCAATTTGCCAAACTTCAGCAAACACTGATCACAAACCTATTACTGTGCAGCCACTTTCTGATCTTTGTCAGTATTAAACATTTCACATAATTATAATCATTGAATTCATACTGCTTTGTGTTGTTTCTGTTAACTCACATCAATTACTGCTCCATATTCCTCTTTTATTTTTTCTTAACTTTTCCTCTTGTGTTGTATATTTGGGTTCTCAACTTTTCACTGTCATTTATGCTACTTTGGTATTTCATTATCATATCTCATAAATCCTGTTATCATAATAGAGAAAGAATAGGTGCTAGAAGACTTGAATAATATGAAGGCATTTAGAGGGAGAAAAGAAAGGTGAAAGAGGAAGTGGTTGGTGTGGTTGAGACCTGGTGCTTCTTTTGTGATCCGTGATGTGGAAAGAATACCTCCTACCTTGCAATTTGTGTTTATTAGTGTTCATTTATTTTTCTCATTCTAAATGTTGATTCTTATGATCCTTTCATAGAAGACTTCCTAAATTTTGAGAATTCACTATATGTTTGGCACATCGTAGGAATTAAAACTATAAGCAGAGCAAAGCCCCTCCCTCAAAGAGTATTAGAGTAATTTGGTACAGGAGCCTCCAAAATTGTTTGGTTGTACACTCTGTAAATAACATATGAGTGTAGACCCCATAAAAATAAATTTCATGTGCGTGGTTCTCAGCCTACTATATATTAAGTGTTAGTGAAACTCCTTTTTTTTATATATAAAAACTACAAGTACAGTGAAGTGTATAGAGACTTGTAAGCATTTTTGTTGTTGACTATAATAATAGTTTCTGTCCTAAACCAGCTTATTCTTTCTTTATTGACCTAGTTCCAGGTGCTCCTTCAGCTCCAAGAAGAGGACGTGGGGGTCATCGAGGTGGCAGGGGACGATTTGGTATCCGACGAGATGGTCCAATGAAGTTTGAGAAAGACTTTGACTTTGAAAGTGCGAATGCACAATTTAACAAGGAGGAAATTGACAGAGAGTTTCATAATAAACTTAAATTGAAAGGTGAGTTTTCGTTTTTCTATTCAGAAAATGTTCTGATTTGACTTGTGAATCATGGATGTTTAATAGAAGTCTTGACTTTCTGGTATGTGCTTGTTTTTCATTAGAAGATAAACTTGAGAAGCAGGAAAAGCCTGTAAATGGTGAAGATAAAGGAGACTCAGGAGTTGATACCCAAAACAGTGAAGGAAATGCAGATGAAGAAGATCCACTTGGACCTAATTGCTACTATGATAAAACCAAATCCTTCTTTGATAATATTTCTTGTGATGATAATAGGTACAGTCTTTTAAGCTGCTCTTATATTCTTAGCTTGAAATATGAAATGATTTCTTAGAAATTCACAAACTTTAATGAATACTTAAAGATATCTAATGACTATAATTTTTTAATGTTTTATTTTGCTAGAAGAAAATAATCCATACTAAAATTTTCAGTGATATTACTCCTTGTGAAGAAGATATAACCATATACTTTTGTTTAGGGATGCATTCACATTTGAAAATTGGTAATTAAACCAAAAGCTAACATCTGACATCTAAGTAAGACCTTTTATTTTACTCCTCTTCAGTGTGGTTCAAATGAAGCCAGGGCCAAAAGCACTAATGTTACTTTGAAGTTTGTTGATACAGTAAAACTTTGTCATATCACAGCAAATGTGGATCCAGAAAATTGTCAGGTTAATTGAAAGATCCAGCATCACTAGTTCCAGAGTTTCTGCTACCCAAGCCACATTTTCATTCTCCTGACTATAGTTTGGTGCCACCTGGTGGCAGTTGTCTACTTCAGTGTAAACACGGATGGAGATGTTGTGATCAAAGTCCTGCGATTGTCTGGGCTGAAGCAATTTACCACAGCAGCAGTAGCAATTTAATTTTTTTTGTTGTTTATTTATTTTGAGAGTGAGACAGAGAGCGAGCATGAGCAGAGGAGGGACAGAGAGAGGGAGAGAGAATCCCAAGCAGGTTCCACACTGTCGGAGCAGAGCCTGATGCAGGGCTCGATCCCACGAACCATGAGATCATGACCTGAGCTGACGCCAAGAGTTGGACACTTAACTAACTGAGCCACCCAGGCACCCCTGCAGAAGTAGCAATTTAAACACTTGCTTCAGACACCAGGTCCGGGGACTGGGCCAGGAGCATACTAGGAACTTGGGGACTTAGCTTCCTTCTTCCAGCTTCCTGAGACAGAGTCCCCTTTCCTGGCTTTGCCCTCTCTTACATTGGGCCAAAGGGAGAGTGGAGTCAGTTGCCAATCCTATATTTGAATTCCCATTATATTGGGGGCTATTACCATGTTTGTTTTATATACTGTATTTGGAAAAAACTAATACTGGTCATATTTGCACATGAAATTTAAGAGAATATCATGAGGACATTTTGCCATGGATGGCTTGTGATGACTTAGATAAGGTGCTTGGTTTTTTATTTTTTATTTTTTTAATGTTTATTTTTGAGAGTGCACGGGGGAGGGGCAGAGAGAGGAGACAGAATCCCAAGCAGGCTCCACACTGTCAGCGCAGATAAGGTGCTTATTTTTATTTGATCTTTAGGAATTACTTATCCGTAATTTGGGAATTAGTGTCACATAGTTTTGCCGGAAAATGCTCTTACGACCTGATACAGTAGAGTTTATTCTTATAACAGAGAACGGAGACCAACCTGGGCTGAGGAAAGAAGATTAAATGCCGAAACATTTGGAATCCCACTTCGTCCAAACCGTGGCCGTGGCGGTTACAGAGGCAGAGGAGGTCTTGGTTTCCGTGGTGGCCGAGGGCGTGGTGGTGGCAGAGGTGGTACCTTCACTACCCCTCGAGGATTTCGTGGTGGATTCAGAGGAGGTCGTGGGGGCAGGGAGTTTGCAGATTTTGAATACAGAGTAAGTATTGTCTGCTTTGGGGTTGGCAGGCAGTTTTATGAAATTTGGAATGTTTTTACTTTATATTGGGTGAATATTTTTAAGACATTGTATAACTTCCATTTTGACTCTTCAGTGGGGGATGAGGTTGTTTATATAATTATAAGGAGCAGTAATTTCTTGGCTAATGAGTCCAAGTTTTTTTTAACTGTTTCCATTTGGAGGAAGCAAAAGATAGAAATGAGATTGGGGTGGAGGGGTCTTTTTTATTATAGAACCATGGTTTTAGATTTCATGGATAGTAAAATTTCCCCCCAAAATAAAAAATGTATTAGAGATAGGCTTAGGATTTTTTTTTTTTTTTTTTTTTTTTTTTTGGAGGCATGGGGGATTGCTAAAGAAATTATACCAAAAAAAAGACTGTATAATGTCACCTTTATTTCATATTATGGAGTGTGCTTTAACACCAAAAGAGTCTAGGAAGCACATACTCCAGAGTGGAAAGCATTCATAGCAGCCAACATTTATATAGAATTTTACATGTACTAGGCATTGTTCTAAATGTTTTTTGTGTATTAACTCACTTAAACCTCACATGAACTCTGTAAGATAGTACTATTCTTACCGCCATTTTACAGATGAAGAAATAGGTATTGAGATAGTAAATACCTTGTCCAAGGTCAGCTAGTAAGCGATGCTTCAGGGTCTCAAGCCTTGTAAGTTTGTTTCTGAGTCAGTACCCGTAATTTAGTTTTGTGGAAAATTCAACTATGTTTTCCCTGGTTTTCTTATTTTACCTTGGTCTTGAAAATACTGTGATATGTTGATATTTGCAAACTGCTGCTAGGAAACTATATAGCTCTGTATAGTATTGTTTATATATATAATTAATTTATTTAAAGGAGTCTGTCAATTAAGTCAGTGTCGCTTCCTAGTTTATTGATTTTTAGGTTTAGTAGAGAGGAACTTTATATAATCACAGAAGGGATCAAAATCACCTTATAAAGAGATCTAAGAGTTGCACAGGACAGCTGGAAACAAAAAGACCTACTGGCAGGAGTTTCACTGTCCATTATTTGAACTGGACATTGTTGAGATCCTTCTTGAAGGATCAGTGTTAGTGGCTTTTGGGTCTGGTCTGTTAACTTTGACACCTCTGATACTGTATCATCCAGCCAAGACTGCTGAAAATTAGCCTCGGTTCATTAGCTCAGGCTATCCAGCACTGGTGACCTGGTGCAGCTACAGGACTTGTAACTTGGAAAGTTGCCGTTCTGGCTGGGGAGACTGTGTCTTAGGAGTTATAGAATGCCTTTTGCTTGTCACTATTAAGGTACTTGCCAGTGACCTTTTGCTTATAGAGGTCAGTAGCCTTTTCACAAATATTTGCCCTGAACTCCTCTGCAATATTTGACACTGACAACCACTGACCCAACTTAGAAACTTTCTTCCTAGTTTTTTTTTTAAATACTGTTATTTGGGGTCTTTTTGTTTTGTTTTTTTTTTTCTTTTTAAAAAATAACACATATTCCAGGGCACCTGGCTGGTCAGTCAGTGGAGTATGAGTCTTGACCTCGGGGTTGTGAATTTAAGCCCTACATTGAGTGTAGATACTACTTTTTTCTTTTTGTTTTAATCTTTAAAAACAATTTTTTTTTTTTTTTTTTTTTTTTTTTTTTTTTTTTTTTTTTTTTTTTTTGCTTTTCAATATCTTACTCAGAAAAGATTATAAGCATTGAGGCAAGTTTTCGTTTTAAAATGGAATACAATGTAAAAAAATTTTTTTTTAATGTTTATTTTTTGAGAAAGAGACAGAGAGAGAGAGACAGAGACAGAGCATGAGCGGGGAAGGGGCAGAGAGAAGGAGACACAGAATCTGAAGCAGGCTCCAGGCTCTGATCTGGCAGCACACGGCCTGACGTGGAGCTCGAACTCACGAACCGGGAGATCATGACCTGAGCTGAAGTCGGACGCTTAACCGACTGAGCCACCCAGGCACCCCAAGTGTAGCTATTACTTAAAAATAAAATATTATTTAATAAAATCTTTAGAAAATAATAATAACATGTGTTCCTCACCACAGCCAGGCACTTCATGATCTGACTGCTTCTTCAGGTCATAAGTCTTATACTGGCTCTGGTCTTTTTTGCCAGTGGGACTCACCTTTTCTTTATTCACTCTGCTGCAGATATGTGGACCTTCTTGCTCTTGTTCAGTGCCAAACTTACAACTATCTCAGGATCTTTTCACCCATTCCTTCTGCCCAGAATGTTCAGTTTGCTCCTTGTAAGCATTTGTGCTCATGCTTGGGCTCCTGCTTCCTCTCCCTTCTTTCTTTTTCCTCTCCCTTCCCCTTTCTTTCCTCCTCTCCTTTGTGAACGTGTTGATTCATCGCTTTTAATTGGTTTTTCACCTAGGACTTTCTGTGCTTCTACCTGCATTTCTCTGTCTTTATGTGCTTTATGTCCTGTGACCAACTTAAACTTAACCTTCCTCAAATGACCTTATCATCTTCTAGCCTTTCCATCGTCTCCGCACAGCCTCCTCCCAGTGTCTGCATTGGCTAATGGTGTGTCACTCTTTTCATCTCCCAGGCAGTATAGCCCATGTCCGCATTACCACATTCATTCCTGTGAGATGTCCCTGCCAGCTACCATAACAACTCACTGATTGGTCTTCAGACATTCAGTCTTCTTTACCTCACTTCAGGCATGTCAGTTACCTGTTGAAGAACCCATGACACCTTCTTGTTGAAGACCACATTGAGTCAGCTTGGTTTGAGAAAAAGTACATTTAAATTAAACTTGGATCCCAATGAGGATTTTAGTGATTGTTGCTAGTGTGACCTCAGTTGAGTCGTCAAACCTTTCAGGCCCTCAGTTTTCACATTGTGGAAAGAGAGTTAACACAGTTTTATCTCCTATACACCTTCTAAAGATCATTAAAGTTTTTTTTTTTTTTTTTT